ACTTGTTATTTTCTGTTTTCTTTTTCTTTTTTTGATAATAGATAATGGATATGAAGTGGTGCCTCATTGTAGTTTTGATCTGCACGTCCCTAATGGGATGTTCGAACATCTCTTCATGTGCTTATTGGCCATTCTTTAGAGAAATGTCTCTTCAAGTCCTTTGCTCATTTTTGAATTGGGTTGTTAGGCTTTTTTTGTTTTTGAGTTTTAGGAGTTCTCTATGTATTCCGCTTATTAATCCCTTATCAGAACATATCAAGGAATTTTTTCTTTTTTTTTTTTTGCGACAGAGTCTCGATTTGTTGCCCAGGCTAGAGTGAGTGCCGTGGCGTCAGCCTAGCTCACAGCAACCTCAAACTCCTGGACTCAAGCGATCCTCCTGCCTCAGCCTCCTGAGTGGCTGGGACTACAGGCATGCGCCACCATGCCCAGCTAGTTTTTTATATATATATTAGTTGGCCAATTAATTTCTTTCCATTTATAGTAGAGACAGGGTCTCGCTCTTGCTCAGGCTGGTTTCGAACTCCTGAACTTGAGCAATCCACCCGCCTCGGCCTCCCAGAGAGCTAAGACTACAGGCGTGAGCCACCACGCCCGGCCCACAAGGAATTTTTTTTACACGATTTTGGAGTTTGTCTTTATTGTAAAATTTTGAGATGTAAAGAATTACCAAATTGGGGTCTTACTTGAATGACTTATAGTCTAAATGTGTAACTGAACTGTATAACTAAGTATTAAGTAGGCATCCTAAGGGTTATTTAGTTTAATGTTACAAATGCAAGTACACCAAATAATTTTATAAGAATCAGAATTATTGAATTTAATGTCACTATTCTCCTTAATAGTCTCATTTAAATCTTTATATTACATGTTGCATCATAAAGGATACATTGTTCTTGTTACAGTTAACATAACCATCAATCTACTTCCCAATTTATCTGTTGGGAAGATCTTAATAACTATTTTGGAACATAAAATAAGTACCTTTCACAATCATCATTAATTATTGCAGCATTTTACTCCAGTGATAATAATTATACATTTATACTTCAATTGACTGATAGAACTTCAAAAACGAAAGCATATAAAAGAGATTTTGTCACCCCTTGTTACACCTAGCATGCTTAACTGTATTTGAAATGGAACATTCAGCTTTGACACTGAGGCAGAATGGACTGCCTCACTGGGACTCCAGATGACATTCAGACTCCATACGGTGGTCACATATGTGACCACCCAGTCCTTGACCTTGCTAGCTTCAGGGAGGCCAGAAATGAGGTGAAGCTGCCATTTGGCTCTCTGGCCTTCCTAAGGCAGAAGGCGGAGCTGAAAATCTGGTTTCCCTGAATGCGGAGACTGAGTTGCATTTTGGTGAAGGCTCAGGGTAGCACGCAGGAAGAACAGAGGACGGGAGCGCTGGGTAGCTGCCCCAAACGGGAGGCCTTTGGGTGGTAGAGCACAGATCACTGCAGACCCGCAGCAGCTCATGGGGCCATGGGGGGCCTGTGGGCTATTCATATTTGACTTAGTTTCTCCCTCCCAGACCATGGGAATCTTCTCTCCTTTGTGACTCCCTGTCTCATAACCAGAGAAGATGATTTGGCGCTTATGAAAAGCACGCTTGTGCTGACAGGTGCCCCAAGGCCACCATCATCGTCCCATGAGGATTTCTCCCTTTGTCAGGGCGCTGCTGCGGCTGCATCCTTATCCACAGTCTGGCCTCTGTCCCCGGATTGCAGAGGAGAAAGGAGCCAACACAGACCCCTGCAGTACAAAATCCAAAAGACAATAAAAACGTGTACCCTTCAAAATAGGTATCACTCCCATTCCATCCTCAGGGTTCCTGGTGCTTCTCCCTGAAGGCAACATGTTTCCATCTTCACATGAATCCTTGCAAAGACATTTTCCTGGCGACTGTTCATACATTTACAAGCAAAGAAGGATAAATGGTCTTTGGTTTCTTTCTTTCTTTTTTTTTATTTATTTTACGTAAACGATAGTGTACCAAACACACTTCTTTGTGCTTTTTTTCTCACAATATATTTTAGAGGTTGTCCATGTGTGCTCATAAGGTGCTTCCTCTTTCTTACAACTGCATTCCTTACATGGATGTCCCATCATTTTTTAACCATCCCCTTAATGACGTACAGTTGAGTGGTTTCTTCTCTTTTGCTGCCATAAATGACATAGCAGTAAATAGCTCTGTGGACTTGTCATTCCACATGCGAGTGTATCTCTAGGATGCATCCTTAGCGTAGAACTGCAGGATCAAAAGGTCTGCACAGCTTTAATCTTGATTAATATTACCGAGGTTTTCTCCATTAGGGTTATGCCCATTTACATTTCCACTGAGGACGCCTGAGACTAGCATTCCCCTGCCTTATTTACATAGTGTGTTTCCAAGCTTTTGGATGCATGCCAATCTGATGGAGAAAAATGGTACCTCAGTATAGCTTTCATCCTGTATGTTTCTGATTAAGAGTGACGTTGCTTGAGCAATTTTCCATCGTTTAAATATCACATGTGTCTCCTTCTATGAGAACTGTTTCTTCTGCACCCCAGCCTCCCTTTCTGTTGGGTTGTTAGCCTTTTCTCACTGATGTGTTTGTGATATGATTTAGGAGGGCTTTTTTTTTTTTTTTTTCTCAGTTCCACATTTATCTTTTGACTTTGTTTATGGTGGTTTTAAAAAAACGATTTTGTTTTTAAAAACAGTTTTAGTTTTATGGGAAAATTGAGCAGGTTGTACAGGGAGCTCCCATATGCTTCCCTCCCCTCCCCACAGTTTCCCCTATTATTAGCATTGTGTATTAGCGTGGTACATTTGTCAAAACTTAATGAACCAGGCTGGGCCTCCTGGCTCATGCCTATAATCCCAGCCCTTTGGGAGGTGGGAAGATTGCTTGAGGCCAGGAGTTCAAGATCAACCTGAGCAACATAGTGAGACCTCAACTCTGTAAAAGAATAGGAAAATTAGCCAAGTGTGGTGGCAAGTGACTGTAGTCTCAGCCATTCAGGAGGCTAAGGCAGGAGGATCGCTTGAGCCCAGGAGTTTGAGGTTGCAGTGAGCTGCGATAATGCCACTGCACTCCAGCCTGGGAAACAGAGTGAGACCCTGTCTCAAGAAAGAAAAAATAAAAAGGAACTGGTATTATTAACTAAAGTCCGTAGTTTCTATTAGAGTTCACTTTGTGTTGTGCAAAGCTGCTTTGACAAATGCATGATGTCACGAATCCACCGGTACATCATCCTACAGAACGGTTCCACTGTCCTCAAAGTCCCCCGGGCTCTACCTGTTCATACCTCCCTCACTGTGAACCCCTGGCAAGTATTGACACTGATCTTTTTACTCTCTCTTTAGTTTTGTCATTTCGAGAATGTTGTATAGTTGGAATTGTACAGCATTTAGCCTTTTCAAACTGTCTTGACTTATCAATATGCATTCAAGGTTACTCCTTTTTGTGACTTGATAGCACATTTAAAAAATGGCTGAATAATAGTCTATTGTATGGATGCACCATAATTTTTTATCCAGTTACTTATCGAAGGACATCTTGGTAGCTTTGGGGAATTATGAATAAAGCTGCTATAAACATTCATATGCATATTTTTGTGTGGACATAAGTTTCCAATGCAATTGGGTAATTACCTAGGAGCACAATTGCTATATTGTGTAGTACAACTATTTTAGCCTTGTCATCGGAAAAGGACCCAAACTCTGTAAAATAATTTAAAGAGGTTTATCCTGGGCCGAATATGTGTGACCAGGGTCCAGGCAGCCATGCCCAAGAAGCCTTGAGCGAGTGGTCGTGCCATTACAGTTTGGTTTTATACATTTTAGGTAGACAAGAACTACATGTAAAGTCATAAAGCAATACATGGAAGATATACATTAGTCTGGCCAAAAAAGGCAGGACATCTTTTTTTTTTTTTTTTTTTTTTGAGACAGAGTCTCACTCTGTTGCCCTGGCTAGAGTGCCATGGCGTCAGCCTAGCTCACAGCAACCTCAAACTCCTGGGCTCAAGCAACCCTTCTGCCTCAGCCTTCCGAGTAGCTGGGACTATAGGCACGTGCCACCATGCCTGGCTAATTTTTTCTATATATATTTTTAGTTTGCCAATTAATTTCTTTCTATTTTTAGTATAGATGGGGTCTCGCTCTTGCTCAGGCTGGTCTCGAACTCCTGACCTTGAGTGATCCACCCGCCTCGGCCTCCCAGAGTGCTAGAAGGCAGGACATCTTGAAGCAGGGGATTACAGGTTATAGGTAGTTTTAAAGATTCTTTGATTTGCATTTGGCTAAAGAAATGAAACTTTGTCTAAAGCCTTGGACTGTTTGCTTGTTACTGATTTTGTATCTTCTTGTTACAAAAATAACTCCAAAAGGGGACAGGGCATAACTAGGTGTGTCTGAACTCCTTTTTCCTCATGGCCGGCAACTCAGCTTTAAGGTTTTTTGTGTTTTTTTGGGGGGGTCCTCTTGGCCAAGAGGGAGTCCATACAGTTGGCTGGGGTGGGGGGCTTAAGATTTTATTTTAGTTCACATTTGTAAGAAACTGCCAAAACAATATGCTTTCCTCTTGTTCATCTGTTTTTTTGCACTAAAGGCACTTACATAGCAGGCACAAAAGGTTGCCCCTTTTTCTTTCTGAAAGCAGGAGACAAAACCCTATATAGGAAGACGTCCTCCTTATACCAGGAGGAAAGTAATGTTCTTATCATCAAGGACAAAAAATTGAAGCTGGGAGAAATCTGTACAAACTTTGTTAAACTAACCCAGTCTTCCTCATCACTTTTGCAGCCAATTAACCACCCTAGCCCTGGCCCCTTTGCCTTCTCACATTATCACCATTTCCCCTGCTTTGCCCAATGCAGTAGACTCTAACTGCTTCTCTGGATCTTGATTTCTGCTGTTCCTTCAATTTCATGAGTTGGAAAGAATTCCCAATGCAGTAGTGCTGGGAGATGGGACCTATGGGAGGTGCTTGGGTCCTGAGGGCTCCACTCTCTTGAACGAATCGAAGCTGCTATAAGAGAAGAGGTCTTGTGGGAGTGAGATCATCTTCGCTGCTTTTCCGCCAGGTGACGACACAACGTCCATCCCCTCTGGAGGACACAGCATTCAAAGTGCCCAAAGCAGAGACTGGACCCTTGCTAGACAATGAACCTGCTGGCACCTTGATCTTGGACTTCCCAGCCTCAAGAACTGTAAGAAATAAATATCTGTCCTTTATACATTACCTACCCAGTTTGTGGTGTTCTGTTATAACAGCACAAAACAGACTGAGACAATTTTCTTATGAGGGCCCCTGTCACATAAAACTTAAGTACATTTGTATACTTTTCTCTTGTTCATCTGTCTATGTCAGTTTAATTCCCAGACACAGGAGGGCAGAGGTCAAATTTTGTCTCCTCTACTTAGAGGAGGCCATGGGACGGTAGAGGCAGAGATTGGAATGATGCAGCCACAAGCCAAGGGATGCTGAGGATTGCCCGCAGCCATCAGAAACCGGGAGGCGAGGAAGGGTCCTTCCCCGGCACCTTCAGAGAGAGTGTGGCCCTGACACACCTTGGTTTGGGACTTCCAGGCTCCAGAACTGTGAGATAACAAATTTCTGTTGTTTCAGCCACCCAGTTTGTGATATTTCAGTATGGCAGCCCTAGGAAACTAATACCATAAGGTATTGGGAGGGGAGGGAGTGCTCTATAATCTTGTAATTAAACCTCAGAGGGCCTGAGTCCCTGGGCTGTGGCCTTTCTTTTTCTCTCCTGATGGAGACTGGGAGGCCAGAGGGGGCTGGAGTGGGCTCCCCGCCCTTTCCCTAAGGCAGATAAGGCCTGGCAAAGCAGTGTCCTTTGCCGGCAGGCCTTTGTGGAGGAGAGCAGAATGCTCTGGGCTTTCAAAATGGTTACTTTTTCCCTGGGCGTGTTTTAAAACGGTTACTTTACCCCAGCCCTTGCCTGAAGCATGGGCACTTTTCTCCCAACTTCACAGTGAGAACCTGGCGGTGCTCCCGGAGATAAACCCCAGGAAAATGTGAGATCGCTCCGAGACTGGGACCCCAGGAGTTCTGAACTCCTGCGCTGGTCCACACCCAGCCTGCAGCAATCCCTCAGTCTCCGGTGAAGGGCTCCTGCAAGTTGCCGGCGGCAGTGGTGGCTCCGTCCTGGTAGGTAAGTCGCGGTCCTCTCTCTCTTCCACTGTCAGGGTGGGCACTTTGCCCGGTGACTTCAGTTCTCTGGGGGATGTAAGGACGTTGTCGATTCTCAGTTTGCTCAGCTCTTTACTGTCAGAGCTGTCACATGGTGGCGTTTTGTCATTCAGAAGCATACAGGGTTTGTACTGGGATTCCATCTCCTTACTAATTCTTCTTTTTCCCTTTCCAAGGCATTTTTTTTTCTTTGCTGGAGACTATAGAACAACATCTATGGAGTAACAAAAATGGGAAACAGGTTACAAAGGCCCAGAATCTATTATTAAAAGCTCTTAGAGTAATCACTTTCTGGTCTGTGATTCTGACTTCCCTTTTAGAAATTTCTGGAAGCCTCAGTAACTTCTGTATTTGACCTTCTCAGTGGATGGCCAATTCTGTTATTCTGGCACTGAGCGTATTTCTTATCTTGTCCTTCTCAAAAATTGTTTCCTGTGTGTTTCCTTGTCTTGATGGTATTTTGTAAACACTTTGACGTCCAAGGCTCAGGCTTCTCTGACCTTGATAGCTGCCTGCAGTCTTATACGAGGCCAGTTTGTGATTAGGGCTCTGGGAAAATGGACCATCAGGCAAACTGGATTCTTTCCTCCAGTTGGTCTGCTGTAGAACTTGTCATGTATATATTTCCACATTGCCTCTTGCTAGCACATAAGCCCAGGCATGTGCCCATGGGTCTACCCTGTGATCCTGACCCTAATAGGGACAGGCAATCCCCACAAAGAGACTTTCCGAATCTGACATCTAGAAATTTGCCCTTTTTTCTCTTTGCAAACACTATATATATATGTGTGTGTATATATATATATATATTTATATTTATATAGTAAACACTGTATATATAGTGTTTGTATGTATGTATATATATTTCACAAAAGCAATGCTCGTATATTGTAGATAACTTTGGAAATACAGAAAAGTATAAAGACAAAAATAAAATAATCCATAAAATTACAGTCACTATTTTGGTGCAATTCCCTGGCCTCTTTACTATGCATTGTGAATACTCAGAGGGAAGGATGTAGAGTTGTTTAGCAATCAACAAAAATCAAGACTTAACTACTGCTGTGATGGTTAGATATGTGTACGCAAAGGATAATACAGTGTTTTAGGAATGTGGCTGGGCAAGAACACGACCTTTGAAGTCAAATGGGTCTGCATTCAAGTCCCAGGGCTGCCACTCATCGGGAGACCTTGGGCAAGTTGCTTCTGTGTTTCAGTTTCGTCTGAAAACCGGGGCTGATATCACCTATCTCATAGGGCGGTTGGGAGTAACTAGATGATCTCATGTACATAAAGCAGCGAACAAAGTGCTCAATACATGGAGCAGCTGGAGGGAAAGGGGGAGAGGAGGAGGAAGAGAAGTGGGGATGGTTAGGGTGGAGAGCTAGAAAGCTAGTGCACCCGGGTTTTGAGAAGGATTTCTCCAGACAAAGAATGAGATAGAAAAGTTTATTTGCTTTTCCCTGGGCAAGAAAAGGGCCAACCCAGAAGTGAAGGAGGTAGAGAACGTTGGCAGAGAGAACCAGGTACTCAGGCTTTTTATTTAGGGGGTGAAGGTTTATGGATGTAGCTACATTAATAGAGTACTGCAGCATCCGCTCTGTTCTTCCTTCTCCCTCGGCAGCTGATCCCAGAAACTCCCTTGGAGACGGGATTATTGGGATTATCGCAGGAGATGTGACTCTGCCCTGGACATAGGCTGAGGCCTGAAGCTCGCACCCTGCTGTTCGCTTGGGAACTCTTTAGACTGAAAAAAGCAGATTCTCAAAGCAATTATAAAAGGGGAAGACTTACATCTCTTTTCTGTGTGTTCAGCTCTTTCAGAAATTGTGCAAAACAGAACTCATAGGATTGATCTTTAACTATTACTAGAAAATTGTGGGATTAGATATCTTCCTGTTAATTTTTGTAAGGCATCCCTTTTGGGGACCACAAATTTGGCACTTTCCATTTTTGGAATGGCTGTATTCTTTTCACAGTGCGTTGTGCTTACCATGGCATGTCCCGGGGAAGAGTTCCTGCTGTTGTAAATGTGATTATGACAGTTAAAACCCCAGATTTCAGCTTGTCTTCATGGGAGAATGCCAGCTAATAAAGAAGGAATGATAGAACTAGATAATCACCGTTTTGTGAAGACGCTAGTAATAACCAATTCAGTCCATATCATCAAGCGATGCTAAAGCCATGGATTGAAAGGTTGTTGGGCACAGGCTATTTACACAGTATCAAACTGTCACTTTGCAGATTATGTATTTTGTCCCCCTGGATACATCCTGCACAGAGAAGATTATGTATTAATTACATCAAAAAGATCTGTTGGACGTCACCTTAACTAAATGGTCAAAGTTAGATTTACGAGTAATGGGACAAACTAACATTATGTGCCTCCTGCTGTGACATACAGTAGTCTCCCCTTATCAGTGATTTTGCCATCTGTGGTTTCAGCTACTGATGGTCAACTGCAGTTAGAAAATGTTAAATAAAAAACTCCAGAAATAAACAATTCATAAGTTTTAAATCATGTGCTGTTTTGAGTAGTGTGATGAAATCTCACGCTGCCCTACTCCGTCCTGACTGGGAGGGGATCATCCCGTTGTCCAGAGTATTCATGCTGTGGATGCCACCTGCCCAGTAGTCACTCAGTAGCCTTCTTGGTTCTCTGTTGCGGTAGCTGTTACTGTTACTCTCGTTACTGTTACTCGGTTACTGTCATGGTATCCCAGTGCTTACGTTCAAGTCTTCCTTATTTTACTTAACGATGGCTCCAAAGCACAAAAATAGTGATGCTGGCAATTAGGATATGCCAAAGAGGAACTGTAAAGTGCTTCCTTGAAGTGAAAAAGTGAAAGTTCAAAATCATTTGCTGAGGCTGCTAAAATCCACAGTGAGAATAAATCTATCCATGAAATTGTGAAGTAGGAAAAAGAAATTTGTGCTCGTTTTGCTATTGCACTTCAAGCTGAGAAAGTTACAGCCACAGTGAGTGCTAAGTGCTTAGTTAAGATGGAAAAGGCATTACATTTGCGGTGGAAGACATGAATAGAAATGTGTTCTGATGAACGGCAATTGAGTTCAGTACTGTCTGCAGTTTCAGACGTCCACTGGGGGACTTCGAACGTATCCCCTTTGGATAAGGGGAGACTACTGTATTAGGAAGGATGCAATATCACTTATGTTGTATTTGTGTCTAAAACGGTTAATCGAATTACATCATGCCGCAGCAATTAGTCAAATAGAGATTGGGGAGTAGTCCATCAGACTTCAAAATGACAATGTCATGAAAGACCAAAAAAGGTGGGAGATAGCTCTAGATAAAAATGTATTAAATAGTCAATTACAGTGTGTAAGCCTTGATTGCATACAATATAATACATATTTTTAAAGGATATAAAAGACATTTTGGAGGTAATTAGGGAAATTTGAATACAGACTGTATATATATTATTGTAGTCATGTTGAATTTCTTGGGTGTGATGATGGTACTGTGGTCATGTAAGAGAATCAACATCTTTTAGGAGATGTTGATGAATTATTAGGTCACTAAATATGAAATATCCGATTTCAAATCAAAAGTTTAGTTTACTATATCTCAAACAAGAAGTACAATTAATCAAAGTATGTGCCTAAACTATCTACATAGTCTTGCCATCGTAATGGTAGCTTGTTTATGCCAGCAGCAAAGAGGCCTGGAGAGCTAGTGACCATGAAATTGCAATAGGTATTTTCCACAGCTTGCTGAGAATGGAATATTTTTCCTTTCAAGAAGTGGTCCAAAGCCTGGAAGAAGTGGTAGGCAGCTGGTGCAAGGTCTGATGAATACGATGGATGACAGAGAGTTCAAAATCCAGCATTTGTAGTTTGAAAAGCATTGTTTTCTGAGACTATAGTCTTGCAAGAGGATTGTTCTGTCTCTACTGATCAAACTTGGCTGCTTAATTGCAAGCATCTCGTCATTTCATCCAACTGGTTGCAGTAGACATCCGCTGTAGTCGATTGACCGGGTTTCATGAAGCTCTAGTGAATAATACTAGCGCTGGACCACCAAACACACACCATTAGCTTTTTTTGATGAATATTTAGTTTTGGATTATGTTTCAGCATTTCATCTTTATCCAACCATTGTGCCAAATGCTTGTGATTGTCAAAAATAATCCATTTTTTTATCACACATAACAATACAATGTAGAAATGGTTCTCCTTTATGTCATGACAGCAAAAAAGGGCAAGCTTTGAGATGATTTCTCTTCTGATGCTTGTTCAGTTTTTGCAGAACCCACCTATCCAGCTTCTTTACCTTGCTGATTTATTTCAAATGGTCCAATATTGTTGGAATAGTAACATCAATCCTTACTGCTAATTCACACGTAGGTCAAGATGGATTTGTTTCCACTATAGGTTTCAGCTCATCATTATCCACCTTGGTCTCAGGTCACCCATGTGGCTCATTTTCAAGATTAAAATCACCAGAATGGAACTTCTGGAACCACTGATGTACTGTGTGTTCATTAGCCACATCCTTCCCAAACACTTTGCTGATATTTTGAGCTGTCTGTGTAGCGTTGGTTCCATGATGGAACTCACATTAAAAAATAACAGGAATTTTTGCCTTATCCATGGTTTCACAAAAATTACTCTAAAAAATTTTGAAAGATAATCACAAGCAAAAAGCCATGCATTTGAAAGAATGAGGATGTACCTTCACAATAAAAATAAGAAGTGGCAAAATGAGAATGTCAGATATTAATCATCAAACTTAGTACTTAAGGAAGCTGGACATTTCATACTTGGTGACCTAATATTTTTTGGGTGAAGCAACTATATATCTGCAACTTACTCTAAATGGTTCAGCAAAAAAGCTGTCATATGTGTGTGTGTGTATGTGTGTGTGTGTATAAAATTGGTGACCAGTAAGTGGGTGTTTGTTTGTTTTTCAACTTTTCTACAAGTTTGATATTAAAAAAAAATAAAAAGGGAATAAAATAAAATCCTGCTTTCAGAAAAAGGCTAGAATAAGTCCTCTCAGTGTTCTAACCATTGAGCTTCCTTCTTGAGGAGAATTAGGAAGCCTTTAACTTAAACACACTAGAATAGTCCTTCTTGGCTGATCTTTTTTATGGACATCTGGTCTATCACGGGTGTGTGCAATCGTTCTCTATATTGAATTGTATTTGGTTTTGCTTCACAATTCTAAGAAAATTCCATTGAGCTCATGTTTAATAAGCCCCTGAGTAGTAATATTACTAATGTGCTACCAAATTTAGGCACTAAACTGTCTTGAACAGGCTGAAGAGAAGGTGCCGTGAGAAAAGGCCTGTGTTTAGGTTAGGGGAATTTCACAGTTACATAGCAGAGCAAGGAGTCTGTGTGAAAGCCACTTTCTCTCCTAAGAGCATCTGATCCCCTGTCATATGTGCCCATAAGAAGGACTTAGACCTGTTGTCACATCAAGGAAGGATGGTAAGTAGGAAGGCAAGACCTTTCTACTGGTAATCCCTAAGGAAACAGTGCGAAATCATTAGACAATTAACAGCATAAGGTTGTTTGTATTATTTTACATAACCTCCATAGTGGATTGTGACTTATTCTTTCCTTTGCCACTCAGAGCAGATGGAGATTATCATTTCACAGAAAGGATGTACGGGTGGGGCACCAGCTCTCAGTGACAGAGGAAATTATTGTCACATAGGAAAGGGGTCAAAACAGGGGGAGGAATTCAAAAGATGAATCTGTCCCTAATGCAACTGCATCAAAGGATGGCACATAAGTTTCTTTTTACCTGCCAGTTCCAATTGTTTGATGGGGACTGCTAGAGGACTATCTTAAGAAATATTCCTAAGGCACTTTAGGCTCAGGGAGAAAGAATGCAGTAATTGATTAGTCATGTCTGTTATTAATAATTTTTTTTGAAAGTGTGTAGTGGCATGCATGCCATATTTACCAACTTTGAACTTCCAGCACTAACTAAATTGGATGCTTGAAAAACACTAATGCCTTCAAGAAAGTATTTGTTAAAGTAATGATCATAACAATAGCTTATATTTATTTTTTTTATTTTTTTATTTTTATTTTTTTGAGACAGAGTCTCACTCTGTTGCCTGGGCTAGAGTGAGTGTCGTGGCGTCAGCCTAGCTCACAGCAACCTCAAACTCCTGGGCTCAAGTGATCCTCCTGCCTCAGCCTCCCGAGTAGCTGGGACTGCAGGTATGCGCCACCATGCCCGGCTAATTTTTTCTTTATTATGTATATATTTTTTAGTTGTCCAGCTAATTTCTTTCTATTTTTTTAGTAGAGACAGGTTCTCACTTTTGCTTAGGCTGGTCTCAAACTCCTGAGCTCAAACGCCTGTCTCAGCCTCCCAGAGTGCTAAGATTACAGGGGTCAGCCACTGTGTCCAGCCACCACATTTATGAATCACTCACAATAGGTCAGACAGTATTCCAAGTGCTTTGTACCTATTAACTCACTTAATCCTTGCAACAATTTGATGAGGTGAGTGCTATTACCATCACCCCATGTTAGAAATAAGAAACCTAAGTCACCTTCCTCAAGTGTGGCTCACCTTTGCAGTCGCCTTCCCTGGCTACTGTATTTCAGATTTCAGCTCTGCTCCTGTCACGTTCAATCCCCTTTCCCTGCCTTAATTTTCTTCTCGGCACCTTTCGTCATCTGACCTTCTATATATTTTAGTTATTTGTTTATTTTATGTTTCCTCCCACTAGGAGGTAAGCATTTGAGAGCAGAGATTTTTCGGTTTGTTTTGTTTACCGCCGTATCTCTAGCAACTTTCCAAAGTCCCCGCTGGGCACGCGGTGCTCAGTAACTACTCGCGTGATGAAAGAGTGGGGCTTGCAGGGGTGAAATCCCTTGGTCATAGAGCTACTCTGTGGTGACAGGTGGGAGAGGGGGTTTCACGGTTGCTTTTCTTTGGGGAGCTGAGAAGATGGCACATGTGACAAAACCCAGAAGCTGCAGAGAATCTGAGGCTGACAGATTTTGACAGTAAAATGGAAAAGGAGCCCAAGAGGCTTCAAAACTGACAAAGTACGTGCCACCTGGGTGAGGTGCCTGGTCACCAACCCTCTGGGGCGGGGGGGCTTCCATCGCTAAGAGAGGAGGTGGCTTTCTGCGGCCTCCTGGGACGCAGGCAGACAAGTAAAACTCCCACAAAGTTTGGGGCCCAGACTGGCCCCAGCAGCACCTGACTCCAAGGATTTTTTTTATTTTTTCAAGAAATAAATAAGTTGGGGAATGTTGTCAGCACACAGAAACTACTGGAAGCTTCTGCTGATGACGTAGAAAGGAGAGAAATGGGGCTGAGGTCTGAGAGCTAAGCTTTACAATGACAGAAAGTGGACTAGAGTTAAGCCAAGTTCCCTTCAGGAGACAGAGTGGCTTCCGGGCTGGAACGCAGGCTTGGCTGTCGTTGCAGAAACGCCGAGAAAGGAGTGTCAGGGACACTCTGTCAGGGGCTGGGACCAGGCCGGAGGATGCATGTGGAGGGCCTCATGTGGGTGTGATGGTGGGCTGCCTAGCAGGGGCTGTATGACATTCGAGTCATGGAACCTGCTCAGAAGTCTTCTGCTTATGATTTGGCTTCCTGGGTCTCTTGGCTTGAGTGAGCCCGAGTCCTGTTAGCTAGAAGCCAGTGGGCCTGCAGCCTTGGAAGCCATGGCTCTTAGAGTGAGCTGGCGCCACGAGGCCTGCCTGTCAGACCCCTGAGCCTCTGAGGCCGAGGACCTGCTGTGGGCATGGCCCCAGGGAAGGCGCCTGCAGGAGACCTGGGGCTGCCGGCCCTCCCTTCCTGGTTGTATGCAGACCACGCTTGCTCACGCTCGTGGCCTTTGAGAAGGTCCACGCTGGGCGCCCCTGTGCCCTGCACGCCTCCAGCCTCTGCAGCTTCCTAGGCCATCCTGCCCTTTAATGCCCTCCTTACTGCCTGCCGAGGCCCCAGCCCAGGGACACGGGACGGGACGTGCACACTTTTACCAGGTATTCCTCCCCTGATGGGCACTGAGAAGCTGTATTAATTTCCTGTTGCTGTGGCAACGAGTTACCACATAATCAGTGGCTTTAAAATGTATTATAGCAACTCGAATTCATCATCTTACAGTTTGTAGGTTGGAATCCAACACAAGCCTCACCGGGCTCACACGAAGGTGCTGACAGAGCTCAGAGGCTGCTCTGCCTGCAGTCCTCAGCTCGGGCCCCTCCCCCCCTGAAGCCAGTAACAGAAGGGTGAGTCCTTCCCGCATCTGATCCCTTTGCCTTTCCTGCCTTCCTTTCTACCGTTAAGAACTCTTAGGATTACACTGGGCCTCCCACGATAATCCAGGATGATCTCTGGATTGTTAGGGCAGCCAATCAGCCACCTTAATGCCATCTGCAGCCTTAATTTGCCTTGGAATTTAACATATCCGCAGGTCCTGGGGATGGGTGCATGGACGCATTTGGATGGGGCAGTGTTGTGTCCGTCCCAGAAGCCCCGAGGTACACCAGGATCCACACAAAGGCTCCCTGGCTGCTGCTGGTCCCTTCCGCTAGCCACCTCTCCCTCCTTCCCTCGGCCACCTGGGAACTAGCATTTCCGGGGCACACATTCTCCCAGAGCTATTGCCCCCCCAAGGGCGGGCCCGAGCATCATGGGATGGGAACATTATCACTGTCACTCTGGCAGAGGTCTGCTTAGCCGGGGGGACACCCTGACAACTGTTAGTGCGGACAGTGGCCCCGGAGTGTCATCGGGAGGCTGGGCCTCCACCTGGAGGCTTCGGGTGCCCTGAGGGAGGCAGGAGGAGGGGGAGGAGGAGGGTCAGGAGCAGCGGGTGGAGAGGAGCCCGCCAGCGAGTGGCTGGGGCCTATGGGGGCAGGCCGGAGGGGACAGGGTGGCCATGGGCCATTTCAGCTGTGGAGATGCCTGAGTTGACAGCCCCAAGTTTGTGTTTCTGTGATGTGAAATCCCCCTGTCTCTCTGCAGTCCCCGGACTTCAGGAAGGCCCAGGCCGCCTTGTAGGCAGGGTGTCTTGGTGGGACGCAGGAAGAGGCAGGCGAGCATGATGGCACTGTAGGAAGAGCAGAGGCCGGCGGGCAGAGGGGGCGTGGAGGTGTCGGCAGCCCTGCCCTGGGAGCTCACAGTAAACTTGGGGTGGCTTTGGCCATCTCCAGACCGTGCGGCAGGACATCCCACCTAGAGCTCAGGGCATGGCCACACTGCAGCTGACCTCTGGATCTCATGGCAGAGACCGGGCTGTGCCTTTTAGTCCACTACTACTACTAAGGGCTTGGGGATGGCAGGAGAGCTCTTCAACGCAGAGGAACACTCAAAAGGGGTCACCATGTTTGTGGCTCCTGGCACCCAAGCTGCACCCACCTCAGGCCCTCCCTCTCTCTGTGGGCCCTGGCCTGCTGGTCCCTGGAGGGTTTGCCCACAGCTCCCGCTGGAGCTGACCGTGTTGTCTCTACCTAAAGCCCACTAAGCCTCCTCCCTCCCCAGATGTAACCTTCTTTGGGCCCAAGAAAAGGGGGAAAACTTTCTTAATCGTAGTTTCTTAGTTCTTAGAACTTTCTCAGTTCTCAGGATCCCAGGCAACTGCAATTTGCAGATGGTAGGAAGTGCAGCTGTCGCCTTTTGTGCTCCTGTGGGTGAAAGGGTAGGCTGTTTGTAAGGCCCTTGGTACTTGTTGCCAAATTGCCTTCTAGAAACCCCATGAGGATGTTCTCCTCCCTAGACCTCTGCCAGCGTGAAGCATTGCTAGCCTCATGTGAACAAAAATCTCATTTTCATTTTCAGTTCTTTGATTACGTGTGAAGATGTGTTTTAAAAATACACATGCAACTTCTTTTGAATGGTGTTAGTAATAATGAAAAGCCGATTTCAAATGTCATGAAATCTCTATTAAGATGTGAGAAAAAATTTTCGATTTATATGAAGGGCAGGTTTCATTATTTGTACAGCTTTTGTTATGAGGCTTGAGGCTGGGGGAGGGGAAAGAAGAGGAAAAAGGAGAAACGCTAGAAAGAGGGGAAAGAGAAGAGAAGAAAATAAAAATGGGAAGAAGAGTGGAAGCTGAGCAGTTGGGACAACCGGGAACCTGCTAAGATGAACCCTTTAAGGTGAAGCTGACCAGCGAGCTGAATGAGCGAGAGGTCCAGCTTGGGGTGCCGGATAAGGTGTCCTGGCACTCCGAGTACAAGGACAGCGCCTGGGTCTTCCTGGGAGGGCTTCCTTATGAATTGACTGAAGGCGACATCATCTGTGTTTTCTCACAGTATGGGGAGATTGTTAACATTAATCTCGTGCGGGACCAGACGACCGGGAAGTCCAAAGGATTGCTTCCTCTGCTATGAAGACCAGGGAAGCACAATTCTGGCCGTTGACAATTTTAATGGAATCAAGATTAAAGGGCGGTCTTAGCGGGTTGGAATCATGGCGGCCACGGCCACGATGGCGACCTCGGGCTGGGCGCGGAAGCGGCTGCTCAAAGAGGAAGACATGACCAAAGTGGAATTCGAGACCAGCAAGGAGGTGGACGTGACCCCCACGTTCGACTCTATGGGCCTGCGGGAGGACCTGCTGCGCGGCATCTACGCCTACGGTTTTGAAAACCCTTCAGCGATCCAACAGCGAGCTACCAAGCAGATAATTAAAGGGAGAGACGTCATCGCACAGTCTCAGTCTGGCACAGGTAAAACAGCCACCTTCAGTATTTCAGTCCTTCAGTGCTTGGATATTCAGGTTCCTGACACCCAGGCTCTGATCTTGGCCCCCACGCGAGAGCTGGCCGTGCAGATCCAGAAGGGCCTGCTTGCTCTCGGCGACTACATGAACATCCAGTGCCACGCCTGCATCAGGGGCACCAATGTGGGCGAGGACATCAGGAAGCTGGATTACGGACAGCACGTCGTCGCAGGCACACCAGGGCGCGTCTTTGATGTGATTCGTCGAAGAAGTTTAAGGACACGAGCTATCAAGATGTTGGTTTGGGATGAGGCTGATGAAATGTTGACTAAAGGTTTCAAAGAGCAGATTTATGACGTGTACAGGTACCTGCCTCCGGCCACACAGGTGGTCCTTATCAGTGCCACGCTGCCCCGTGAAATCCTGGAAATGACCACCAAGTTCATGACGGACCCAATCCGCATCCTGGTAAGACGTGATGAGTTGACTCTGGAAGGCATCAGACAGTTTTTTGTGGCAGTGGAAAGAGAAGAGTGGAAGTTTGACACCCTGTGTGATCTCTACGACACACTGACCATCGCGCAGGCGGTCATCTTCTGTAACACCAAGTGGAAGGTTGACTGGCTGACAGAGAAGATGAGAGAAGCCAATGTCACCGTGTCCTCGATGCACGGAGACATGCCGCAGAAGGAGCGGAGTCCATCGTGAAGGAGGTCCGGGCCGGCGCCAGCCGCGTGCTCATCTCCACAGACGTCTGGGCCAGGGGCTTGGATGTCCCGCAGGTGTCCCTCATCATTAACTACGACCTGCCCAATAACAGAGAGTTGTACATACACAGAATTGGGAGATCAGGTCGATATGGTCGACAGGGTGTGGCCATTAATTTTGTAAAGAACGACGACATCCGCATCCTCCGAGATACTGAACAGTACTGCTCCACTCAGATGGATGAAACGCCTGTGGACGCTGCCGATCTGAGCTGAAGACACAGTCCCGCTGTGCTGAAGATGGGTTGGAGGTGGTTCACATATTTTGTAGTCCTGTTTGGAAACATTTAGGGTCAGCTTCCATTAAAGGGGTTTATGTGAGATCCCTTCTCATAGTGCCCCCAGGAAAAGCTCGAGGCTGCTGCTGCTGACTTTTCTTATCCACATGTAAATAATGCATTGCTGCAAGTCTTTTTCATTAAACACTTAAAACTTTAAAAAAAAAAAAAGATTAAAGGGCGAACTGAACTATCTGAGTGGATCATGTATCTAACTATCGGCCTCCCAAGGACTCGGAGCTCTCTAGGCACATCACCCAGTTCTTCTAAGAGAAGGGCTGTCACGCCACGCCAGAGCAACATGGCCGGCGTGGCGGCCACGGCCGGGGCTAGCGGCTCCGGAACGAGATCAGGAAGTAAACAGACTACTAACCCTGCTGATAACTACCATCTGGCCCGGAGGAGAACACTGCAAGTGGCTGTGAGCTCCTTGCTCACAGAGGCAGGGTTTGAGAGCGCCGAAAAAGCATCCGTGGAAACATTGACAGATGCTGCAGAGCTACACTTCAGAAATTGGGGGGAGTGCCGAGTCTCACTGTGAGCACACAGCCAGGACTCGGCCCGCACTGTCGGAT